CTGCTTTCTCCTGAATAACAAGAACGTGGTAAGTCTTCCAAGCGTCTTCCTTCTCGTCCTGAAGCATGCTAACAACAACACAGTTACAATCTTCGAGCCGTGGCTGATCTGCTGTATCAAACCATAAAGAGCCTACTTGCTCCGTGCTGTGGACAATAGCATGTATTTCCCCTTTGTCTTCCATCCGGCAATTTCCACCAAACTTCCTCACTTGGACGTTTAGCGCCTTTCCCTCGTCGGTAAAGTTAAGGTCCTTGAGGCGGGCAACCTTTAGACGCCTCCTCGCTTCGCAGATAAAACTGATGCCTCCGGGATATGCCATCCAAGACCACGACGGTACAAATCTCTTGTAGTCGATTTGGGGTGTCTTGTTCTCAGTAGTTCGCCTCCACAGGAGAAGGTGACCAAAGAAGCAACGGAAGATGCCGTATCTGCCGTCAGTCCCTAGTACTTGTCCCATATGCTTGACCAGGCTGTGAATCGCAACATCCCTGTCGGTTGCATAGCTAAGGCCGGATGTTGAATATCTCTCAAAGAGGAATTGGATGAACTCGACGGTTCGTATATACCCGCTCTCGCGGAGTCTACTCGGAAAGCTGGGATCGAGGATGAAGTATTTTTTTCCATATGGCCTAGAGAGAGATGAGACTTCGTAGCACACGTGATGTTTAATTCTGTGGACTTACGGGGTCAGTTTTGTCAGCTGTTCACACAGCACTCCGTCTCCACACTCGCAGTATGTGTGCGCCGCGGTAAAATGGATGATCCGACGGGAAAGCACCCGTTCCTGCAGTACCCAAGCCCTCTTCATAAGGGCACCCTCATCTACATCTTTGTAGAAATCACACGTACACCCAGTCGGTGTGCTTGGAGTGTCTTGTGCTCCAATGTCCGGAGGATCCGACTGTAACTCCAGGAACCCATCTCCCCAGCCAGTTGCTGAACTCGCGGCAATGGTGCAGTAGGCGCCGGCAAAGATATCTGCCATGACCTTAGCTTCGCTCTCCCAGTCGCAGTCGGGTCCCTCCTGTATGATACAGAGAGCGTCGATCCAGAGGTACTGCTTCTGCAACGCTCGAGTCACCTGAACTGCGTCTTGAAATGTCTTCGGCAGCTCGTCGTAGCTGAAGCCCCGTTTTCGAGGTCCGTAGTTTTCGCTGGTAGTGCAGAACTGCTTCTTCTCTTCTGCCGTTGGGCGGCCCCAGCAGTGCGAGAGCACAAGGTAGTCCTCCCCTCCACCGAGCCCTTCAACGAGAGTCAATTTTTGGGGGTCACCAACGTAAATAACCCTCTTCGGCCAAAACGTCGGTTGTTGATTGCAGCTGGGGTGATTTTTAACGCAGTTCTGAAGCCACTTGCGCAATAAGACGAAGATTGGCAAGCTGTTCCTTGAGTGGAATGAGACGGCGTCATCGGGGGCATGTCGTCGTAATTCTCCGCTTACTTCCGCAGCGAAATCTACACTTACAGGCTACACCACCACACACACCAAGGTCAGCAATCATCACCATCTCAT